GTCTCGGCTAAGAGGCTTCCATTTCCACTTTACTGGGCGGCGGCAAGGGGCAGAGGTGAGGGCCTGGTCGTCTGTCTGCACGAATTTAATCGCATTTAGCTCATTTAGCAGCAAATTGAATTTGCCATGCCACCCCCTCTGCATAGGCCCCGCCGAAAATGAGAAATTCAATTAAAATCAAATTTTTACAGCGCCGCCGCCAAAAGCAGGGCTTCCGGAAGGTCGCCTTTAAACAGATTTCAGCTACAATTTCGTCACTTTAACTCGGACAAAAAAAGCAAACAGAAATAGAAACAGAAACCAACACCAGGACCGAAAACGAAACCAAAATCGAGGCGAACAAAGGCGGAGGCACAGGCGGAGGCGCAGGCGGAGGCACAGGCGGGGGCGCAGCCTTCCTGCCTGACAAAATAAATAAGCACAAAAAATAATTGAGCTGCTGCTGGTGCCATCATCGCATCATACCCAGCCTCAAATCCCAATGCCATCCATCCCCGATACCCCCGATTCCCCAGATTCCGGGGCGGGGGGCCAGTCATCGACAGCAAAGGACACGAGATAATCGCCCGAACCTCCCTCCCACAAATTTGCCCGCTTCTATGAGTATTTTTTCTCTCTCTCTTAGGCGTCGAAAGAACATTTTTTGCGCTTGGCCAAGCTCCGTTCGTCCGTGATTAGCTTTGCTGGAGAGTCCTGCAGTCCTGGCTATCGGCCACGTCATGCCCGGGGAAGGCAGAGGCAAAGGCAAGGCTTTGCCTTTGGCCAGGCTTTCTTTTTGGGGTGATAATTAGGCCTACGGCTAAGCGAAACCTCAAAGTTCCAGCCGACCCAAAGATGATTTATGATGCATGCCCCATGCTCTGCTGGAGTTCATTGCGCGTTAATTTATTACATGCTGGCCAAAGGGGATTGCCGTCTTGTAGTGGCCGTTCGAGCACTGATGGTGCCTGCAAATCGTTTAATTATGTGCGTTTTCTGCCGCTTTTCCTTTGAGAAACACTCGGCCGACGCCCCACGTCGGAAAGTTGCGACAAACGGCAACAGCTGAATGGATCCGGAGAGTGCCAGAGAGTGCCATTGGATGCGGTTGCTCATGAAATGCAGCACAAAGTCGCCTCCGTCATCCACTCGCTGGTGTTCGACGAAGCGGCCACTTCGAGTGCACTGAAGTGTGTTTGGCAGCAGAGGGATGGCAGAGGGATTGGCAGAGGGATTGGCAGAGGGGGAATTGCCGTTGCAGTTGGCCAGCAAAATGATCAATTGATTTGCATTCCCTGCTCTGCCAGGCAGACGTTTAAAGCCATCTCTGGCAGCAGCAGAAGGACTGCTGGACTGCAGGATTGGACTCCGGGCCCAGGGCTTAATATTCCCGCGTTTAACCCTTAACCCCTTGTGGCCGGAATGGCAAGAGAAGGAACCAAATGTTGGCAGGGCTTTGGAGACCTCGTAAGAGGGCTAGGAAGTGCGATCGATGGCGATCTCAGGGAGTTTTCTTGGGCCTAGGATCAAGCCAAGACTCCTCCAGCAGGAGCTCTCTCCTGCCCCCAGCCTTCAAGCGACCTTCCATAATCTTCTTGGAGTGAAGTGCTTTGGTTTGGTTTGGTTTTCGATCAGCTTTTGGGGCACCTACGTGGGTTAAGCCGAGTGGCAAGTGCCCGCCACACACTGCCGCACACAGACGCACTGCCGCGTGCATGTGGCAAGCAAAACAGCTCGCTGGGGAACTGTAAATCACGTCGAGCGCAGAGCGCAAATTGGTTAGTGAAACACATAAACCAACCGGCACACATTCATCAGAGAGGCAGAGGGAGGGGGAGAGGCAGAGAACGGGGGAGCTGTTTCCTTTCTAGGCAGGAGGCGGGGAGGGGCAGAAGGGGCACACACATGAGTTGGCAGACTAAATTCGCGCTTTTGAAAAATGAAAGACGGACAGAGAAAAGTACAGAGGAAATACACACGGAGAAATGTGAAAGTTGTAGCGTGAATGTAATCTCTCCTAAAGGAGAGGGTCGAACCCTAAAGGAGGACTTGAGTCTGCCTCTGCAGCAGTGGCATACGAATCATATTATCCTTAGGTGGAATTAGTTGTGTGTCCCCCCACCCCTGGCGGCAGTCCCCGTGCCATCCGTTGCCAGGAAGTGCTCTCCCCCACTCCCCAGGAGCCGAAGCTTTCCTTTCTGCAGCACTTTGCTTTAACTTATTTTACTTGCAGCACAAATTGAAAGAAAAATCCATCCTGCAATGTCCTGGAAATGGCATCGTATCCTCCCCTCCTTCCCCTGCCTCCCCTAAACAACAGAATGGCAGTAAATGAAATTTTCCATGGCCGCTCGCCGATCGAAGAGAAATTGAAAAAATAATCATAAATATTGCATGCAGCTCGTTGCAGCACGGCTCTCTCGATGGCTCTTTGGCTCTGCCTCTGCCTTTTCTTTTTTTTTTTGCCGATTAAGCGGCACAAAATGTGAATGCAAGCAAGGCTCGGGATACGGTTACGGCTCGCCGGTTAAGTATACGCCGCGTGGGCGCCACCAGAGCTTAGCCCGAAAATGCGCACAAGCCGGTTTATGTCACCCGCAGTGGCAGTGGAGAGGGGGAGGGGGGTGGGGGGGCCAGGGGCAGGGACATGCCATATTTACACGGCACTCCATTTCTATGGCAGCCACAAGGATGGAAATGAGGATGAGAATGACGCCTCCGGCAAGGAATATTCTAAAAAGCTTCGTGTGAAAATAATTTTACGCCGGAAAACAAGGTTAAAAAAGGTGTTATAACCCAAAAACCCCCCCACCAACGAACGAAGGAGTAACGAAACGCTTAAAGCGTTTTCAGCACATTTAAGGTGGGAAAAGTTTTCTCCATCATCATCATCGTCGTTCGCGTTGGATCCCTCTATCCGTCTATCTCCCTCCGCTCCAACGGAGGACTGGGTTCTCTTTTACATGGTGAAAATTAAAAGTTAAATGCGCAAAGTCAATAAAAGACAGCGATACTAACAAATGGTGAATGAAAAAATGGAAAATGGATGGAAAATAGGGGAACTGGGGTATCGGGGGGTAAGTGGGGTATCGGGGGTATCGGGGGTAGTGGCAGTTGAGAAATCCTTTAATGCCCTTCGTATTTGCATGGTGGCAACGTGGCAAGTGCAACGGAATGGCGGCAGGCAGTGGCATTGGGAGACTATCCATTGAGGACAATGCCGTCACTTCTTCCCCTCCATTTTTTGTGTCTTTTGTGCGGCAATTGCGACGCCAACTGTTTGCCGAGAGATAAAAACTTGGGGGGGCGGCTTGAGTTGACAAACGCCGACTAATAAAATGCACTTGCCACAGTGGCAGGGACAGACACAGTGGCAGGAGGCACAGTGGCAGCCACTGTGACTGCAAAATGGTTTGAATCGTTTGCGTTTTGTCTTTGACGGCTGAGTGGCTGCGTTTGCTCTACTAATTGATGCACTAAGCAGCGCTTGTATGCCTTTCAATTAGACCCAATCCAAGGCGCCTCCACCTCCCTTGCCACAGAGAGTGTCTCCCTTTTGGATGAAACTGTCCGCTTATCAATGCGGCTGATTGTCAGGGCCGAGTGCCGTGGGCGCCCGCAAAGGCATGACTGAGGGGGGCATTCAATCGAAAGGGCTCTGAGAGAAAACCAAAAATCAATCGAGGCAAAATATGCAAAGCATTTTTTAATTAAATTTTGAAGATCTTGCCCAGAGGCAGAGCCCAGTGCTAAGCTCTGGCACAAATTATATATAGAGAGAGAACGCATTCAGGCATGGATTATCGCCAGGACGACAGAGGTAGAGGGGGTGGAGCGGGGAGGGGGCAGAGCTAGGCATTCCACAGTTGTTGAGATTTTTTTAATTGCAATTGCAGCAGCAAGCCGGCCACCCGGCCACCCGGCCACCCGGCACTCATTAAAGCGATAAATTTTCAATGCAAATGAAATTTTCAATTTCATTTTAATTTCCACTTGCACACAGGAGGGGCCTTGGGAGAGAGGGGGGGTGCGGGGGTAAAAAGGGAAATTAGTTTCGAACATTTTTCGCACTTGCAAACATTATTTCCGACCACTGAAGCTTGTTCGAGTCGCTTTGGATGGACCCAGGACAACAGCAGGGTATATTGGAAGGAAGGTAAGGGCCCACCGCTTCCTGAGTATTCCGACTATTGTCTTCAATGCTCTGTTGAGCACTCTTCCCTCTCTATAGTACATTCCCTGCAGCTCTCTGGCCCTGCCCAACCTTCTCGTTTCGTGTACCTTGGGAAGAAGGAGACCTTCGTAGAGCAAACATTGGGCGGCACTTGCTTTTAGCCCTAATTAGTCAATTTATGTTCAATTTGCTAATTTGTCGATGCTCTGCTGTAACTATGGATGCATCGAACATATGCCTACACATCCTCCGCTGGCCACAGACGTATGATTAATATTTAATTGCATTATCCAGAGTGCAGTCTCCCAAACTCGCTCTCTGTGTGCATTTGCCTGGAACCAAGGCAAATTAAATTAACATTTATATATTGGTCCAGATAGAGATGGAGGGATAGAGAGGGGTAGAGAGGGGTGGAGAGAGAGTTGCAATGAAAACTCATAAATTGCATCCGCTGGCCGCCCTGATGGGTTTACCACCAACCGGAATTCAATCAGCCAGCAGAGTCGAATCGTTTCCATTAGCTAGAAAAACCCCCCAACCATTCAACGGGGGAGGGGGGCTGACAAATAGACAAACATAAATATCAACAGAAACCAGAGGGGCCAGAGGCAAGAGGCAAGAGCTATTGAAAACGTATCAAACAGCAGCTGTGCATCGATGACGCAGATGAATAAGAGTCAAGACCAAGGCAAAGCAGACGCCGTTTGTCTAGGGTTTTCCCTAAATACACCTGACGTTTATTTGAGCTGTGAAACGTCACTCCGTACGAGCCGTAGAGCGGGCCAAGAATGGTATAAAAGAGCTGTGGAGGCGGTGAAAGTTATCACAGTTACGGCTTGAATTTGAAAACATGCGTTTCTACATCTTGATTGTCCTCTTTGCATTGGTTGCTGTGGCAGCTGCTCAGGGCAGACGTCCACAGAGGGGAGGACGACCGAATGGTCAGCAGCCAGGACCACCAGGCAGGCCGCAATGGGGTCTGCCACCAAATGGCACTCTGCCCGACAATGGCAACAGCACAAGCACAACCACAACCACAACGACTACGACCACCACTGAGGCCAGCAGCACTACCGAGGCTTCCTCCTCCTAGGATGTTACCCAAAGTCAATCTAAAATCCATTTTTGGCTGGCTCAAGCCCCCTCGAACATGATATTAATAAAAGTTTTCCCGCAAGAACTAAATCTTCGTCACATTTTTTTCCTCCGACAGATTTCGCACAAGACACTTGCATTATGTAGTCCTCTGATGGATGTCGTGGCGAAAGGGGGGTGGAGGGGCGGTGTGCCTCGGAAATCGAAATGTAACTTGTTCGCTGCTGCACAAGGCCGCCACGCGGCGGCTGACAGCTGGCGGCCATGAGAAAGACACCCATGGAGGTGGCACGTACCAGCACAAAAGCCCGGGGAAATGGGCAAATCCCTGGCCCGCTCTGCGGCTCAAAGGATGGTGCCTTGCCAGCGTTTCCTCTTCCGACTCGGGCTGCAATTATGTCACGGGCAGAGCAGGGTATCCGTTCGTATAAAAAACAAGCTAAACACTTTATTTATGCACTCTCGCTTGTCGTTTGTCTTGAAAGTTTTCGCATTAAACGGCCAGAGTTTGCCCAAACTATGTGCAATGAAAATGAGTTTCCTTGCCAAAAACAGGAAAAACTATACGAAAAGCCACTTGCAGCGGCAGGGGGGGAGGCAGGCTCAACTGGAGGATGCCAAAGGTCGGGTCGGCAACAGTTGGCTCTCATCCCAGGCCAATGCCTGGCATTCTCGAGGGGAGATTTGCTGCTGCTCCGTCGGGGGAAGGCTTATCCCAGCCGGGGACTGGCTGTCATTCCCATTGCCATATAACTCTCCTCTGGATTCCGGACTTTAAGCGCCTTAAGAGCGAGCCATTGATGTCGTTGGGCCTTAAATATCTGAGGCAGAAATTGATCAAAAGTCAGGCCGGACAGGGAGAACCTGGAGCCCTGGAGTACATGGGACACATGGGGCCACCCGATGGGGGCACATTTTTATTGGTCATTAGTGCGAGCCTCTATCGGCATTCGTAAGCATTTACACATCGTTAAACTTTCATTTCCGGCAAATTAAGCGCATTTTATGTACCTTCTGCCCCTTCCGACTGACCGTCCTCGAGGTCGGGGCCATACCCATTCGTTGGCGGCGGTGTCAGCAAAACGCTGCCCCACATCACAGCACCAGGGGCATCCAGGGGCTCAAACGGATGACCACAACAAACTGCCGGGCTCATATCCTGGGTCTTGGGCATATTTAATGGAGAGCAAGCAAGCAAGCAAATGGGCGACGCCTCCGGGCGTGTCCAGGTCCTTTGTTTGCCTTTCAATCGAAAGTCAATAGCAAGGCCTTGCCTTGCCACTGACTGTGGCTCGATTTCGGGGTCTATAAAAGCGCTGACCGGACTCTGGCCGCCGACTGTACCGTTCTATTCTGTTCTATCGATCATGTCTTTCTGGGCCGTCAGTCGCGGCCTGACGCCACCGTCGAAGGTGGCGCCCATGCTGAACCCGAACCAGCGCCAGTTCCTGGAGGACGAGATGCGGTACCGCGAGAAGTTGAAGCTGGTGGCGCGGGGGGACGCCATGGACGAGGTGTACGTGCGCAAGCAGGAGACGGTGGACGATCCGCTGGAGCTGGACAGGCACGACTCCTTCTACCAGACGACCAAGAGCCTGCTGGTGCTGTTCCAGATCATGGGCGTGATGCCCATCCACCGGAATCCGCCGGTGAAGAACCTGCCGCGCACGGGCTACTCCTGGGGCTCCAAGCAGGTCATGTGGGCCATCTTCATCTACAGCTGCCAGACGACGGTGGTGGTGCTGGTGCTGCGGGAGCGGGTGAAGAAGTTCGTCACCAGCCCGGACAAGCGCTTCGACGAGGCCATCTACAACGTGATCTTCATCAGCCTGCTGTTCACGAACTTCCTGCTGCCGGTCGCCAGCTGGCGGCACGGGCCCCAGGTGGCCATCTTCAAGAACATGTGGACCAACTACCAGTACAAGTTCTTCAAGACGACGGGCAGCCCGATCGTGTTCCCGAACCTCTACCCGCTGACCTGGTCGCTGTGCATCTTCTCCTGGGTCCTGAGCATCGCCATCAATCTCTCGCAGTACTTCCTGCAGCCGGACTTCCGGCTGTGGTACACCTTCGCCTACTACCCCATCATCGCGATGCTGAACTGCTTCTGCAGCCTGTGGTACATCAACTGCAACGCCTTCGGCACCGCCAGCCGCGCCCTCTCGGACGCCCTGCAGACCACCATTCGCGGCGAGAAGCCCGCCCAGAAGCTGACGGAGTACCGCCACCTGTGGGTGGACCTCAGCCACATGATGCAGCAGCTGGGGCGGGCCTACTCGAACATGTACGGCATGTACTGCCTCGTGATCTTCTTCACCACGATCATCGCCACGTACGGCAGCATCAGCGAGATCATGGACCACGGCGCCACCTACAAGGAGGTGGGCCTCTTCGTCATCGTCTTCTACTGCATGGGCCTGCTGTACATCATCTGCAACGAGGCCCACTACGCCTCCCGCAAGGTCGGCCTCGACTTCCAGACCAAGCTGCTCAACATCAACCTCACGTCCGTGGACGCGGCCACCCAGAAGGAGGTCGAGATGCTCCTGGTGGCCATCAACAAGAACCCGCCCATCATGAACCTCGACGGCTATGCGAACATCAACCGCGAGCTCATCACCACCAACATTTCCTTCATGGCCACGTATCTGGTGGTGCTCCTCCAGTTCAAGATCACCGAGCAGAGACGCACTAATTCGCAGGCCGCCTAGATCTTAGCCAGCAAATACTTTTAGTAATCGTTAAATAAAATCGAAATGGTAATGGAATACTATTAAATGAAGATCTATTAAGATCTACCCAGCTGTGATGTGGCCTATTGGAAATTTCATACATTTTCTGGTTTCATTATGGTTTTTTCCTGAGTTTTCTCTGTATTTTATTTGCTACACGAATTACATATTCATGTATTCCTTTTTAACTAGAAAAAACCTATTTCTCAGGGAAATCTGCAGTTTATTTTCCGGTTTAACTCATCAGGATATGATCTGGCTGACGAAACAGATTCTTTATACAGCTTTTGATTTATTTTGTGCCTTTAAAATCTAATACATAATCTCTTAAATCGAACTCTTAAAATCATAGCGTTTCGAAGAATAATCCAACAGCATTTATTGTGTTTATTCCTGGAATTTTTTGAAAATAATATTATGAATGGGAATATTTTGTATTTTTTATTTGTAGTAAACATTTTACTGACCTCTTCTATTAATTTTACACCACTTCGCCAAAGAAAAGCAATGACCTAACAATTTAAGGGTTGAAATGAACGCAAACAAGGCGAGTGCCAGTGCGAGCGGGACAAAAGTTCGAAATACGGCAGTTCTATCGAATTTCGAACATTCTCTCCCGCTCGCACTGACAGTAGTCTTAGCCGCTCGCCTTCTCTTTCTTGCCTTACTCGAATTCCAAAAGTTTTCGATGAGAGAATACAAAATCAAAGCGTAAAATGCATCTGGATTTGATATTATTCACCATTTCGATTTATTATCGAGCTGCCTTTTTCTGGGCAGCCATTTGAAAACTAATTAAAAGCGTATTTAAATGAAAAACTACTGCCCTTGTATTGGAGGCCACAGTGTTATATCTCATATCATTCGTATATATCCATTATTTATAGTTCATGTATAAATGGACATCCATAATTCACTATTATTAGTATTGCATATAAATGCAGATACAGACAGATGTATGTAAACATAAACATAAATGGCCTTCACTTAATCATCATCCCAATTAAAAAACTGAATTAAAACTAATTAAAAACTAATTTAAATTTAAAGCTTATACTTTTTTTTCGATAGAGTGCTGGGGGGGATTGCCTTTGCTGTATGTTTAACAGAGAACAAATCAGCAGCGATATACATACATACATATGTATGGATAGATTCGTCTGGACCAACCAAACATCAGAACTAACAGAAAAGCGTGGGTGTGGGCCTCTTGTGACTCATATTATAGCACCCCTAGATATGCCCAGCATGAACCTTTTAGGGTTATAAGCAATACCTATAATTCCGCTTTGGCACACCTTAACCCCTCACACCTAATCCTCTTAAGATTATAGCACTTAATATTTATAATATTCTCCTGTATTTATGGACCATTATTAGCAGATAATTGTTAATTAATTAAGTGAATAAACATGCTATTTCTGTTTCTCTTTCAGCTGCTTCCATGTTGAATTTGAATGTAAGTATGAATCTATTCGAGAGATATTCGATATAGCGGTAAGCACGGACTGAAATTTTTCGGCACTAGCCAACACTGGACGAAAATGAATCGAACACTGTCCAACACGAACTATTATGATTTCCTTTTTTCAATATTTTTATTAATTTTATACTTAATCAACGCCTTCCAATATCTTTCAAAAACAATGACGGTTTATATTCTTATATTCAACTGCAAAGATTTATAGGAGCTATCGAAGAAATGATTGGATATGGAATTTGTTGTGCATTTTTAACCAATTTTTCACCTGGTCGTCAGTTTCTTACGGAGATATATTGTTTATCGTGTTATTTTGCCCATTGTAGGCCCTGAAAAAATTCCACTTTTCAATACGCTCATGAGGGCACCCGTCGTGTCACGATGAAAGCACGATGCCCACCTCTATTTCGCAGGCTGGTGTTTTGAAGCCTGTCCTGTTTACACTAGGACTGCGTTATGTGATTGCGTTTTGTCGGAACAGAAGATTGGTTTACATAGGATGTATATAGGGGCCTAGTGGTGGTAAAAAGCGGCGGTCGTTTCGAGCGCTGTATCTTCGCAACTACCACCACTATTGACAACAAAAAACAGCTGATCGAAGCATATCATTTTTGGCGGGAGGAAAACAGTAATAATCCTAAAACCAAGGTCCAAGGTGACGTATCGTCAGATCTTTTAATTTATGTAATTCCTATTCGAAATTCTCAGTTTTATTTCAACCCTACCCCATCCATCGATGGAAAATGTGTCATCGACGAAAACGGGCGACGGACTACAGCGGCAACACCTACCTGGGCCTCCAGCTGGGGACCCTGCGGTTGAGGGCCGTGATTGTGGACTCTGAAATGAAGGTCCAGCACACGGCCACCGTAAACTACGACGTGGATCTGCCGGAGTTCGAGACCTCGGGTGGAATCCTCACCGATACCCACCCCGACGAGGGCCTGGCCAATCCCGTGATGTGGGTGAAGGCGCTGGACATGCTGCTGAACTGCCTGAGCGCGCAGGGGGCGGACCTGCACTCGGTGGCGGCCATCGCGGGAGCGGCGCAGCAGCACGGGTGCGTCTTCTGGTCGGACATCGGACTGCGGCGTCTGTGCAACCTGAATGCGATCCTGCGGCTCCACGAGCAGCTCAACGCCAACGCCTTCGAGCTGACGCGCACGCCCGTCTGGCTGGACGGCTCGGCGAGCGCGCAGGCCTTCGAGATGCAGCAGGAAGTGGGCGGCTCCAACGACATGGCGGCCATCACGGGGTCGCGGGCCTATGCCCGGTGCACCGGGCCCCAGATCCGCAAGGTCTACCAGGAGTGTCCGGAGCACTACGAGCGCACGTCGCGGATTTCGCTGGTGAGCAGCTTCCTCTCCTCGCTGCTGGTGGGCGGCGTGGGCTCCATCGACCTCTGCGATGGGTCCGGCATGAACCTGCTGGACATCCACAACCGGGAGTGGTCCGAGAAGTGCCTGGCGGCGTGCGCGCCGGACCTGGCCAGGCGCCTGATGAAGCCCATCGACCCGTCGCGCCTCCAGGGACGCGTGGCCGACTACTACGTGAAGCGCTGGAACTTCCGGCCCGACTGCATGGTGGTGCCGGCCATCGGCATCGCCCACTCCCGGTTCGTGGGCATGCTGCTGGAGAAGGACTTGCTCGTGCTCACGATGGACATCGGCGACGGCCTGATGGTGCACCTGGGCAAGGTGCACCGCAAGATGGACGAGGGCCAGGTGCTGTGCCACCCCACCATTCCCAACGAGTACATGGGCCTGCTGTTCTTCCGCAACGGCTCGGAGATCAGGCAGGCCTTCTGCGAGCAGCTGGCCGACGGCGACTGGGAGCGCTTCAACGCGATGCTCGACGCAACGCCGATGGGCAACGACGGCCACCTGGCCATGCACTTCCCCGACAGGGAGTTCATTCCCGACGCCAAGGGCACGCTGCGGTGGAGCTCCAATCTGAACCCCACGTCGCAGGAGGCTCTGCACGGCGTCCAGCAGTTCGAGCGGCCCGAGACGGAAGCCCGCGCCCTCATCGAGGGCCAGCTGATGCATCACCGCGCCGTTGCGCAGGACCTGGGCTTCCAGTTCGGACCCAACACCACGGTCGTCGTGGCGGGCCCCGACTCGAAGCACCGCGGTATCCTCCAGATCGTGGCCGACGTCTTCAATGCCCCCGTCTACGAGAAGCTCGGTCCCGGGCCCTGCCTCCTCGGGTGCGCCTACCGCGCCCGCTACGCCTTCTACGAGCACCGCGAGGCCACCTGCAGCTGTCGCCGCTGCCACAAAAGCCAGACGCCCCAGCAGAGCTTCGGGGAGTTCTTCAGCAAGCTGCCCAAGGACCTGAACCTCGTGGCCAGTCCCCGTCCCGGCTGCGCGGAGGTCTACGCCCCCCTAATCGTCCGCTGCATGAACATGTGCCAGCTGCTGGCGGCCAGCACCAGCATCCACGACAGCCACATGGTCTTGACGTGATATCTAAGGTTTTTATTGCAAGTGTGGGGGTCCAAGGGTCAACCAAGTGTGGGCTAGAAGTCGGCATCCCAGCCGGAGAGCTCGTCCGGCGGCTCGACGGGGTCGCAGGGGAAGCGATCGAAGTAGCGCACGTCCGTGGCATGGGCGATGGGCCGCACGAAGGGCGGAATCAGCAGCTGGCTGGCCAGCCCATCCCAGTCGAAGCCCAGGAACCACCTAGAGGAAACAAGGCGCCACATATTAGTACATCTAATGCTCGATGGGATTCCGTTGGGTCATTTACTTGTGCTTCTTGATGTCCTGTATGCCGCCCGTCTGGTAGCCCAGTCGCTCCGAGGGAACGTCGCGGCAGAGGCGCTTGATCAGCTGCACGGCCCAGCGGGAGATGTGCTTGGGGAAGTCGATCATGTCGATGCCCTTGAGGATGAGGTTGTACGTCTGCATGGGATCCGAGGCACTGAACGGCGGCCTGAAGAACAACAAAGAAATGGTTGATGCTATGCCCAGAATAAACGAGATCCCTGTCCCCGTACGTACGTTCCGTTCAACAGCTCGTGGATCAGGATGCCCAGGGCCCAGTAGTCGACGGCGCGATCGTGGCCCTTGTTGAGGATGATCTCGGGCGCCACGTACTCGGGCGTGCCGCAGAAGGTCCACGTCTTGGCGCTGGTGCCTATGTGCTTGGCGAAGCCAAAGTCCACCAGCTTCACGTAGCCGCGCTCGTCCAGCATCAGGTTCTCGGGCTTGAGGTCGCGGTAGATGATGCCGCGGGCGTGCAGGTACTCGAAGGCCTGCAGCACACAGCCGATGATGAACTGGGCGGCGTTGTCCTCGAAGGACCCTCGGTCCCGCAGCATGGTCCAGATCTCGCCGCCCATGCAGGCCTCCAGCAGCATGTAGACGTACTTCTCGTCGCGGAAGGTGCGGTGCAGGCGACAGATGAACGGACAGTGGGAGCTGAGCATGATGGTGCGCTCGCTGAAGATGTGCTCCTCCTGCTTGGTGTCCACGATGTGCCGCTTCTTCAGGCACTTCAGGGCGAAGGTGTCCACGCGGCCCTGGTGGTGCGCCTTGACCAGCTCCACGCGGCCGAAGCCCCCGATGCCCAGGGTGCTGACCACCTCGAGATCCGTGAGCCTCAGGTCGGGGAACTCCTGCTGATGCTGCTGCGCCTGCGCCTGCGCGCCGAGCACCTCGTGGCTGTGGGCGGCCGCCTTCATGGCCAGCATGCGGCTCTCGTCCCCGTAGTCCTTCTCCTTCAGCTCGCACAGGTCCCCGATCAGCCGCTTGAAGGAGTCAGTGTCCAGGGAGAGGCACTCCACGCCCGGCGGAAGGGCTATAATGTTCGCCGTGCGCTTGTCCTCGTTGATGAGCGCCTGTTCGCCGAAGTAGTCGCCGCGCGAGAGGGTGCGCAGCTCCGTCTCCTCCAGCGCGTTGGGCGTCAGCTTCTGGGTCACCCGCACGTTGCCCTGCGAGATCAGGAAGAAGCTGTCGCCGGCGGTGCCCTGCCGGATGATGTACGTCCCAGCGGCGTAGAATTCCAGCTCGAGCACGTCGGCGATCTTGGCCAGCAGCTCCTCGCTGAGATTCCGCAACAGCGGCACCGATCGCAGGAAGTTGACGCTGTTCTCGATCCGCTGCAGGCCCGTGCGCATCATGATCTGCTGGAAGACCCGTCGGTCCAGCACCCACACCCGAGATTCGCTCAACACGCGGATGGAGGCGGTGCGCGTGCAGTTGTAGAGGATCGCCAGCTCCCCGAAGGCCTTGCCCGGCCCCATCTTGTCCAGCACCTTGCCGTTCTGCATCACCGCAAACTCCCCGGCGGCGGACACGTACAGGTGGGCCCCCGCCTCGCCCTCGCGAATGACAAACTCCCCGGCCGCTATGCTCTTGGAGTACATCGAGTCCACCAGCTCGCGCACCTGCGAGGCGTCTATGTTCTTGAGGAAGTCGTTGTCCATGATGGCGTCTTTGATCTGCTGCTTATCGCTGGAGGAAAGAACAGTAGAACAGTGAGCTACGATCCGTGGCTGAATCTGTATCTGGGACCCACCTGAAATCCTTTTCGTACTTGGGAATCGGGGCGCTGTACGACTGCTGCATGGATTGGACGCAGCTCTCGGCGGACACCCCCTGCTTCTTGATGGCCGCCGGCAAGGGCTTGGGACGCATCTCAGGGGCTGCTGTCGTTGCCGTTGTGTCTGTGGTTTTGCCTGTGGGTGGCCCCAGAGAGAGTGCCTCCATGGCAAACTCTGGGCTGCTGGGCAGCACCATGCCACAGGAGGTGCAGAGGTGCGGATTCGCATGGCTGCTGGTCACCTCGCCGCACTGCTCGGGCAGGGAGTAGAGCTTCGTCTTGGTCGGGGACTGCTGCAGCCGCTCGTTCCGCTCATTCCTGGTCACATTCAGATGGTTGGTGGTCTGCTGCAGCACGCTCTGGAGGGACACAAAGAGGCGACAATTGGAAAGTGTTGCCTAATCAATTCCCAATTTCCATTCCGAGGCAATTGAGTGGCCAATCAATGGCCAACGCGTGATGCTCGATGCCCAGTCCCCCCCTCTCCCTAGGAACCCAATTAGGCGACTCGTCTCCGAGTGTCTGAGTGCGCCGGCATTCACGTGCTTCGAATCGATGGACGGAACGATGACAGGGCCCCATGACGAATGCAGAGATGAGGAGAACTAGGCCACAAGTGGGTGCGTGATGGGTGGGTGCGTGTTGTCCTTATCATGGTCCGCAAATAGAATGCAAAACTTCCACTCCGAAATCAGTGACCCAAAAACAAAAGCGGCCACAGATAAAGCCCAGGTCCGAGGCGCCTCTGGCTCCAGGCCCGGTTCCACCTCGGCGCAGGCCAAACAAGATAAGCCCTGGCTTCCTCCTCCCCAACCCCCCCCCACCCCGGGCATTGTTTCCCAAAATTATTTGCATAGAAATTAGCATTTGAAAAACGCTCTTCGCCACAGCTCTGGATTCTCTTTTTCGAGCCGAAAGCGCGCGTGCTGCCCTCCGTCCATGTGTTTGTTTACCCAAAGCAAACCCAAGATCTGCTGCTCTGAGGAGGCTGCTCTGCTGGAGGTGATCCAGCAATTAGCGGCGCTGCCCGACTCGAGAGCGGACCGAAAGAGTCCGCTGTGCGAGACTTAATTCAATTCTCTTTGGCTTTTGTTGCGACTGAGAGATGTGCTATCCGCTATCCGCTATCTCGAGACTCGAATCTCGAATCTTTACAAATCAAAGTCGCTGCCAGCCTCTAGAAAATCTCGCCCAGAAGTGCTAATCACTTGGCTCAATAAATCTGCTTTACAATTCAAATAGAGATCCGAGCGGAAGAGATGCGGATGGGAACGGGATGGGGATGGGGATGGGGATGGGGAATCAAGAGGTTCAAGTACAAATTTATAAGGCACTAAGCACTAAGTACTAAGTACTAAACGAGAACCGAGAACCGAGTGCGAGTGTATCTGGCAGATACCATTGCCACTGCCATGCGGCCATGTGGGGTAGGGTTTTGGCTTGGGGTGTATCTGATATCTCGGCAGACTACTGGTGCTGCTGTTGCTGCTTCTGCTGCTGCTGCTGCTCCTCCTCTAGTATCTGCTCTATCAAAGATAACAACAATGTGCGACGCAATTGATAGGAGGGTGAGCGTATTTGCAGATACTTTTGTATCTCTGCGATACACAAAGCGAATTCGAAATTAGTCCGAAAAACAGACCGAGCGGACCACCACAATTGTTTGTCGCTAGCCGCCAGACCCGCCCGCCCTTCCTCCCGCCTCTTATCAGACGAAACAGAACAAACACAGGGCCCAAAACCAAACAAACGCGATGCCAAAGGCGACAGTCGACGATGGATGACTGGATGACTGGATGGAGGGATGGCTCGATGACTACGCGACTCTCTCACCTTCAGCTTGTGGATTTCCCGGTGCAGCTTGACCAGCTCGCTCTCTCGATTGCGCACCATCTCCTTGAGGGACAGCACGTCCTTGTGCAGGCTCTGGACAATCGCCTCGCGCTCCCGATCGTCCATTGGCCGGGCCATGGGTCAGCAGCGATTCGAATTTGGAACAAGGTTAGTCAGAGGTCTCTGTCTGTGTGGAGGTGCTTCTTCCAGGGGGTATCCCATTCAGACGGCGTGCTCTACTCTTCCGTTCCGTTCCGTTCCGTTCAGAGGTTCGGCTCGCTTTAAATCGTTTGCTTACGGGCCCGCTTTCGGCCAGCGACTGGCGGCTAGCGGCGATCAACGCTGCGTATACGTGATTTCCGAAAGAAGAGAACGGCCCAAGAGAGATAGAGATAGAGAGAGAGAGCGTTGCCTAGCGGAAGAGCTAGATCCCAGAGAATGATGGAAAAGGCTTGCGCTTTGGAATTTGGGTTTATGGGCAGCCTCAGGGCTGCCCCTCGCCGTCTGCCAAGGCAAGGGTACATTCACGCGAAGGTAAGGCACCTCCGATCGAGTGGGCAGTGGCCTACCTGCGCCCAAACATACCTTGGACCGCCGCACAAAAGCCGAGCGTAATTTGATGATGACAGCTAACGCGACATTCACGCGGCACGGAGCTGAGTAAAAATTAAAATGAAAATGGGAAATGACAGCCACCAGATATGAAAGCGAAAGCTGGCCAGAGGAAAAGCCACCGTCTGCCTGCGAGATTTTCTGGTCGTGTTGCTTTGTTTTTCCACAGCGTAAACCAGTGTGGAATAAAGTTGCTTTATGCCGCCATAATAGCATTATAGTGCCAGAGCCAGAGCCAGAGCCAGTGGCCGACTCAACTATCAAGCGCTGGATGCGCTAAAAGCTGGCAAAATAAAACGCCAGCATGCCACAGCAAGGACGCTAAGGACACGGATGCGGACACGGACACGGGCACTACTCTGATTTCGCTGACGGCAATGGCATTGGCAGAGTCAGTGGCAAAGGAAAGCCCCGGAGAAGCATCGGCAGTGGCATCAGCGGCTTCCGCTTGTCGGTGGCCCACATTTAATGGAGAAGGAGGAGGAGGAGGAGCAGCAGCAGCAACAGACAGTGATGTATCTGTGTATCTGTGTGTGGCCCTGGGTGGAGCAGTGTGCGTGCGTGCGGCAAAAATGCGAGAACGATTCACGCGGGCAACGTGACAGCCAGCTGTGGCAGCAAAAGGATTAGCCCCGGACAGCGGGACACATGCGGCATATGCGCAATGATGCAGCAAATGATCTATTAAAGCCAAACCCAAGCAATGCCGAGAGAGTAGAGTGGAGTGGAGTGGAGTGGAGTGGAAGATAAATTAATGCCAGAGCCTGTCAGAGCGAAGGTGAGGCCAGGAGACTGCTCAAAACTTTGACAAGCGCCGGAAATTATCTGCAGGGGAGAAGCGGAGTTCTTCCTCTCGAATGACCCCATAGGATGCAGCCACAGACGACCACAGAGCAGAGAGCAGAGAGTGGAGGCCATGAGTGGAACGTCAATCCGGCAGAGACAACTAATTAATGGACGCTGATTTTAAGACGTGGCTCCACAGAGTTTGTCGCGCATTAAATGCACAAACTGAAAGTTTACGAGCAGCGAGAAAGCTGAAGTCTTTGACGGGAAAAGAAAATTAAAATAAATGAACTACTTCCATCAGAAGTGCCGCCCTAGAGGGAGGGGGGCTGGGGTTGTAGTACAAGGATTAGCCAATCACCCGGGACGGGGTCTGAGGGGCACAGAAAAAGACAATCAGGCTAACAGGATTTGTGGCCTGCCAATATTTGCATAATAAATATCGCATGTCACAGATTTCACGGCGGTGATTACGAATGCCAGGAGCCATCACAGTCCTGAGCCGAGGAGCCAGGAGCCAGGAGCCAGGAGCTAGGAGACAGAATGCCATTCCTTGTGCCGTCTGTCAAAGGCATGCCAATGCCAGAGCCAGAAGTGTCACGGAATCCGGTGACGGGCCATAAAAAAAAACCATGCCATGGAGCTGTGGGGCAAAGCCAGGACAAATGCGATGGGAGCGCATAAAAAGAAAGAACAAATCAAGTGGCAATCTAGGGTTATGAGCGGGTTCTCACCGAGCACATATGTATGTAAATGGGGGGCTTTGGGTTGGCTTTGGGCCATGGCATGGCGATAGTATCAACGTGTCAACGTGTAGATGAGCAACGAGCCCCTGCACAAACCCAATTTTCAGGAGATATAGAAGAATAGTCGAGACAATGCCGCCAAGGATTCCTTCAGTAGGCTGTTACCTTCAAAGCCAGGGTATTACCAGCCCCCTTGCCATTCATTTCCGTTGTGATTTGTGAGGACATACGCGGCCCTCCGACCCGACCCGACCCTTCCCTTGGGGCCTCTCGTATCTTATCATCTTATCAACACAACATAACATTTCGTTCGTGTAGTTATTCAATTAAAATGGAGCCCCCCCCTGGTCCGCCCACTCGGATCTACATCCGTCGTTCGGTTCGACTCGGTGCGAAAGTGTACGCTGGGGATTAATTCGAGAGGACAGCGGACATTGGCCAACGGTGGTGACCAGGTGGATCCTCCCACTCCCATTATATATCCGAATTTGGCTTGGCCCCGGCCGCCATGGCTAAGGGCTCCATTCATTTCGGGGGCCTTTGTTTGGTTTCTGCTCGCATTCGTATCTCTGTTATTGCCCTTTTGCTACCCTCTAAGCAGGGGCCTGTGGGGGGTATCCCTGATCTCGCGCCCTTTGTGGTGGCTCTGCTGCTTAGAGGTACGCCCAGGTCGACCCCCCTACCCTTTTGTTGTGTTTTGTTCGCTTTTTGTCTGCTTTATCCCCGAGAAAGATAAATGTAACATGTTTGCTTTGGCACACAAAAAACCCAACCATGCCCCTCCCCCGCCCCTAATACGAGTACTCCTAACAGACAATGCATCATGTCCGTGTGCCAGCGGAATTATTCCATGGACAGTGCTGCCGTTGGTGGCTAATTTTCGGCTGATTTCTGGGGCCTCATCCGCTATGCACTCTTTGGAGCAATCTTCGTACCTGTCACACATCTCCGGGGGCAGTAATGCCGGAATCTTATGTGGAAAGGACGGACCCAAATGGAACTTTTTGTTGGGGCAAAAACTTTTTCACTTTTCCCCCAGTTTTCCCAGCTTTTTGGCCATAGTAAAAAGTGCTTGAAGGGAATGTGTTTCCAAGATGCAATCTGCCTTGGGGCACCCCCACCCCCTCCCCCGCCCCACATTTCCCTCTTGATGCAGAGTTGGCGTGTGCTTTCTTAGCCTTTTTGCTGATGATGTCCAAGAAAAGAGCACTGAAATGGTGTACCCTTCTGCAGAGGGTATTGTGGTTCGAGGGAAGACTTCTTCCCTGATCAGTTGAGAGGCCCTGCCCTACGAATGTTTGTGATCCTCAAGGGTATTTCCAGGTTCGGTCTGCCCTTTACTTCATGTTGCAGATAAATTTAGATTTTCCGAGTGCCTGAAAGGGGCAGGCCACGGGTGGGGAGGGGGGTGTGGGTGGGCTGGGGCAAGAAGTTGATGATGCTCATGCCGCCGCCTGTGCGTGTTTCTGAAGTTTTGCAAATTGCAAACACACACTCTCGTTACACACATATTCATCGGCGGACAATGATAGATTAGCCGGGAGAGTGGGCCCCGCATCTCTGCCCACTACCCCCCTCTCCGTGCCTCCTTCTTTTGGCCTTTTGGCCATGCGCCCGGCTTGGGAAAACTTCAATTGGCAGTGCCCAACATTTCTTACAACAAAATTAAACTGTAATTGAAAAAGTCAATTAAAAAGTTTCACATTTTGTTCTCAATGAACGCAGTCCCAGCCACGCCTCCTTCGCCTGCATTTGCCCGCCCACAAAATGATATTTGCAGCAGAACATAACGCCTGCCAGGGAATAAAAGAAAAAAAAAGAGGAAACGAAACGAAAATGAAAACTTTTTCCCTATCCACAGTCCTGTCATTCCTTTCCCCCCTTCTTATCAGGGGTTCAGAGCTCGACCAAGTGTCAATTAGCGTACAGTTTTCCAGTGTCCTGTCCACCGTGTGGCCACAGCCTCTCGAACAATACCTGTCCATCCAGAGGACCTTCTGCGAGGACACTCTGTACTGCACAAATGATAATCGAGAAAGCGCCGATCAAAGTAGAGGCCACAAGGAACTACTGCTGTCGCAGGAAGTCACTCAAGGATCGATTAAGAGGCATGATTCGACGATGAAATGGTGGCCTCACTCCCAAAGAAGATGTCTTCTAGAAGGGATGTAGAATTTCGGTATTAAGGATGATAATTGTTGTTTAAAGGAAGCTCTTTTTCCAGGAGCCCCCCTGTAGTTTTTGGAATATTGCACAATGTGCTCTAGAAATCTCCTAAAATTCAATTGGCACCTGTCAAATGTCCTTGCATAGAGAACACCACACATAGTCCACTCTCGGCCTATTTATAGGCAGATTAGTTTTTGCCCAATCCTCAAAAATTCATAAATGAATTCAACCAAACGAATTTGAACGGGAAATGCTTTTGGGGCCCAAACACGTGTCGGTTGGAGCACGAGGGAAACCGAACTTGAAACAAAAATACAATGAAATGGAAATATTTCAGCAGTAATTGGGGAAATTGTTTTTCCTTTGTGTGCGGCCCAACGAATGGGGAATGCTCTGCCCACGAAACACGTTCATTAGAGCAGGAGCCGGAGACAGAGATGGATTTGTGTCCGACAGGAAGTGTACCCTATACTGTCCTTCCTCTGCTGGACCCCCCACTATGATGGTGAGCGGGGGGGAGGCGGCAGCCAGCCTTTTATTTAAAAATGCAACAAGCAGCGTCGGACAAAGTTTTTTGTCGGTTTCTGCTTTTTGTTTCTGCTGCGAGACAGAGCGGCGGCGGGTTGGGGGGTCGCAAATCGATAGAAGCAAACAAAAAGCGTTTCCCCGGACCCACAGAATGAGGGGGAGAGGGGGAGCGGGGGAGCGGGAGAGGCAGCCAAAAATGCCAAACAAATTGATTGGAATCGAAAACGAGAACGAAACGTAAACGAAAACGATTCAAATGATTGACTGACCGACTGACTGACTGACTGATGGTCTGATGTGCTCTGATGGGCGGCTGATGGACGGACGATGGACAAAAATATGATGGCTTATGGTGAGAGGTGCCGCACGTCGAGGGGGGCGGGGTGGCGGGGGGGCAGTAAGGGTGAGGAGAATGAGACCTGACTTTGATTGCATGTTGCACAAGAGGC